TCCACACTGTAGGGATTCTGTTTTATTTTATGAATGCTGAGGATGTTGAGTAGCCATCCTAATGAGGCCTTTAAGGCCTGCTTCAAGGTTTGTACAAATCTCTGCCCAGCCATTTGTTGTAGGGCGATATGGAGCCATAGTTGACTCAATGATCTTCCAGGTACTCTGGCACCACAAAAACTGTGACCCACTGTCACTCATGACTTGTTCAGGGGTCCTGAACCTGGCAAATATTTCATCCAATTGGCTTCCGCTGATGCCGACTTCATGATTGACATCTCGAGCCAATGGGAGTGGGCATCCATGACCACCAACAACATCCATCTCTCTGTTAGTCCTGTGAAATCTACATGAATCTGCTACCACGTTGATTGAAGCCATTCAACATAGGTGAAGAGGTGACGAAAATGGCATCTCCCTTACTAATACACAGGATTTGCATGATCCTGTTTTCTCCTCAATCTGGGGAGAAATCTGGGCCATTCTACCTTCGCCCATCAAAAGTAGCTCCTGGTTATTTCTTTCATTCCCCCCATGTGAGGATGCCTTTGCACTTATTGCAGCACCTTTTCTCATAACAGAGGGAAGCAATAACAACTCTCATTTTCCACATTAAACACACATCTGATACAGACAACTCCCACCTTGCAAACAGGTCAGGGTTTATGGGCTGTTTCCATGATGTGTCTTTCCTCTCAGGACTAAGTACCACTTGGGGTAGCATGGTGGCTCAGTGGATAGTGCTGCTGCCTCACAACACCAGGGACCCAGCCCATTCCACTGTCAGGTGACTGTGTGGAATTTGCATGTTCTCCCCATGTCTGTGTGAGTTTCTTCCCTGTGCCTCAGTTTCCTCCCACAGTCGAAAGATGTGCAGGCTAGGTGGATTAGCCCCAGGTAAATGCAGGATTGGAGGGATAGAGTAGTGGGGAGGGTCTGGTGGGATGTTCCTCAGAGGGTTGGGGTTATCTCGATGGGCCAAATGGCCTGCTCCCACACTGTAGCGATTCTATGCATCTACTAAGCTTGAGACTTCATCCAACTTGTTGACATTGGTACCTTGTCTTCCTGGGCAAACTGCATAATTTTCAGGCTCCATTTGATAACATCCTTATTTCCCTATCTTGGTAACCTTGATAAAGCATCCACATTGCCTTGCTTCTCCAACTATTGGTATATGATTTCATATGAGCCAGTGCCTATCTAAACAGGCATGTTGCCATCACTGACGCTATTTCTGTATACGGGCCAAAAATGCTTACCTAAGCATCCTGTGCCCTGTCAGCAGCACGAAGTGCCTGTCATAAAGGAAATGGGTGAACTTCTTAACACCAAACACAATGCTCAATGCTTTCTTTTCCACTTGGATATACTTCTCCTCCATCTTTGTTAGTGACCTTGATGCACACACAATAGGCCCTTCCTCCCTGATCAGCAAGCTATGTGACAGCACACTGTCATCCCCATAAAGTGAGGCATTGCACATTGCCATGGCAACTGCGGGTCAAAATGAATCAACACTTCTGACCTTTTCAAAGCTTGCTTCACCGCCTGGTAAGGCTCCTAACATTCCTGGGGTCCATTTCTACGGCTGTCCTCTTCTCACCGGCCGATGCAGGGGTTTTAGCACGGTTGCTAGATCAGACAAGAACTTGCCACAGTATATTAAAAGTCCCAAGAACGATCTCATTTGAGACACATTCTCTGATCTAGAGGCCTTCATGATAGCCTCCATCTTCTTGGGTGCCTTGTGTAGTCCCTCGCCATCGATTACATAGCCCAGGTACTCTATGGAGTCTTTAAAAAAGTCTCACATTTCTCCCTTTTTACTAGTAGGCCATGCTTCTGCAACATTTTTTTGGCTTTCTTCTAGGTTTTTCAAACACTCCTTTTCTGAGGATCCAGTTGTGAATAGTGGTGGGCTACTAAACAATTCACTGGAGGAGGAGACTCCACAAATGTTCTCATTCTCAATGATGGAAGAGTCCAGCATTTCAGTCCATTCATAGCAATCTTCAGCCAGAAGTGCTGGGTGGAAAATCTGTCTCGGCCTCCTCCAGTGTTCCCCAGCATCATAGATACAGCTGCAGCCAATTTGATTCATTGCACATGATATCAGGAAACGATTGGAGACATGTATACTGCAAAGGCTATAGCATTCCAACAATAGTACTTAAGACTTGTGCTCCAGAATTTGCCGCTCCCCTAGCCAAACTCTCTAGTAGTTACAACAGGGGTCTAACCCACAATGTGGAAAATTGCTCAGCCATGTCCTGTATATAAAAAGCAGGACAAATCCAACCTGATCAATTGCCACCCCATCAGCCTATTCTTGATCATCAGTTGGGAAGTGGTGAGCCACTGGAAATCTGTGCCACAGAAAGCAGCCGAGGCCAAAACTTTGAAAGTTTTCAAGAAGGAGTTAGTGTAGTTCTTAGAGCTAAAATGATCAAACGGAGAAGGCAGAAACAGGGAAGAGAGTTAGGAGATTAGCCATGATTGTACCAAGTGGTAGAGCTCTCTGAGAGCCGAATAGCCTACTCCTGCTATTTTCTATGATTCTATCAATAGATTACATTTAAAGCTACATTTAAAGTTCTTGCATAATCTTTATTTTTTCTAAGGTAATCCTATTTTTATACAATATTAAAACCAAACAAACTGCGGATGCTGTAAATCAGGGACAAAAACAGAAGTTTCTGGAAAAGCTCAGCAGGTCTTGCAGCATCTGTGAAGAGAAAATCAGAGTTAACGTTTTGGTTCCGGTGACCCTTCCTCATAACTGATGGTAGCTGGGAAACCGTTGGTTTATATGTAGAACATAGGGAGGAGGATGGGGGAGGAAGAAAACAATAGGTTAGAGCCCGAAGAGAGAGAAGAGCAGTTGGATAGACAAAGGAGTTGATAATGATCTGGCTAGGAGGGTGAGTAGTTGTTAATAGGGACCGTTAGTGACTAACAATAGGTCTTGTGTAACGGCACGCTATGTGATAACAAAGCCTGATGTGTGTGGGGTTGAGGGTGAGGACATGGAACAGTTTAGGCCCTAAAATTATTGAACTCAATATTGAGTCCGGAGGGCTGCAGGGTCCGCAAGCATAATATCAGGTAATGTTCTACCAGCTTGTGTTGATCTTCGCTGGACCACTGCAACAAGCCAGAGACAGAGATGTTTGCCAGTGAACAGAGTGGTGTGTTAAAGTGGCAGGCAACAGGTAACTCAGGGTCTTTATTGTGAGCAGAACGTAGATCTTCTGTGAAGTGGTCACCCAGTCTATGCTTCATTTCCCCAGTGTAGAGGAGATCACATTGCGAGCAGCAAATGCAGTAGACTATGTTCTGGGAAGCGCAGGTGAAGTGTTGCTTCACCTGGAAGGTATGTTGGGCCCCTTGGATATTGGGGAGGGAGGAGGTTAAATGGGCAGGTGTTGCAACTGGTGAAGGTGCAGGGGAAGGTACAAGATGCCACCACCAGAAACATATTTGCCTCCCCTCCCTTGTCCACCTTCCACAGGGACCGTTCCCTCTGGGAAATCCTGGTCCGCTCTTCCTTCACCCCCAACCCCACCCACAGCCCCATGTCATCTTCCTCTGCAACTGGCGAAGGTGCAACACCTGCCCATTTACCTCCTCCCTCCCCACTATCCAAGGGCCCAAACATACCTTACAGGTGAAGCAACACTTCACCTGCACTTCCCAGAATCTAGACTGCTGCATTCACTGCTCACAATGTGGTCTCCTCTACATTGGGGAAATGAAGCATAGATTGGGTGACCACTTCGCAGAACATCCACGTTCTGCTCGCAAAAAAGACCCGAAGCTACCTGTTGCCTGCCACTTTAACACAACATCATGTTCACTGGCAAACATCTGTCTCTAGCTTGTTGCAGTGTTCCAGCAAAGCTGGTAGAACAACACCTGATTTTACGCTTGGGGGCCCTGAAGCCCTCCAGACTCAACATTGAGTTCAATAATTTTAGGGCCTAAGCTCTCCCATGTCCTAGCCCCCTACCCCACACACATCAGACCTTGTTATCATATAGCCTGCCATTGCGCACTACCTATTGTTAGTCACTAACAATCCCCATTAACAATTACTCACCCTCCAAGCCAGATCATTATCAACTCCTTTGTCTATCCAACTGCTCTTCTCTCTCTCCAGGCTCTATCCTATTGTTTACTCCCTACCCCATCCCCCTCCCTGTGTTCTATATATAAACCAATGTTTTCCCAGCTACCATCAGTTCTGAGGAAGGGTCACCGGACGCAAAATGTTAACTCTGATTGACGGACCCTCTGAGCTTTTCCAGCAACTTCTGTTTTTGTTCCCATTTTTATACACATTCACTAATTAGGCCCTGACCCTAAGATCCTCTTCCCACATTTATACACAGTAATCAATCCCTTCCACTACACACACTGTAATCAGCACTTCTTCCCACATGCTGCAATCAACTCATCTTACCCTCCATGGTCTAGTTGCCAGTGCTTGTAAAGCAGATTTGCCAGGGTAAGGAGCCTGTACAACAAGCAGACAGAAGCAAAAACACAGCTCAGCTTAATGTATCCTAGTTTTATCCATTCTCAATTCATTAGTCTGTCACTTTCATTTACTGGACTCTGGCTGAGCCATGTTGGTGCATCAACATTCCATTCCTGCTCAGCATTAACTGCTGGAAATATTTCTAAAGTTAAAGACAAACATCAATCTAATGAGTCAGGGATTGTCAGAACCTCTGGACTTAGTAGCCTCTTCTCCATAACTGTCATTTCTGCCTCAGAGGACGGGGAGCTCACAACCTCAAAGTAAAGTCTGCAACCCCTGAACCAAAACTAATTCCAGATAACAAATGTTTCCAAATTTCAGCTCCAACTGGCAGGCACAATGTGTTTCTCATTGCATAGTGATGGAAAGTAACGAGTAGTTTGATAATGCAAAACCTATATCTAAGCTCCTGCTGCTTCAGAAATAACATCTTGACCTCATATATATTTTTCAGGTACTTTCCAATTGTGGGGTCATACCATTCAGGTGGATTGGGCAGACCCAGAAAAAGAAGTGGATGAGGAAACTATGCAAAAGGTTAAGGTACTCTATGTGCGAAATCTGATGATATCCACAACAGAAGAGACAATCAAAATGGAATTTAACAAAATTAAACCTGGAGCAGTTGAACGTGTAAAAAAGCTCAGAGACTATGCATTTGTGCACTTTTTTGACAGAGATGATGCAGTTACAGCTATGAATATTATGAATGGCAAGTGTATAGATGGTGCTAGCATTGAAGTCACCCTTGCAAAGCCAGTTAATAAAGATGGCTCTTGGAAGTACACTCAAGGTAGTCAAGTCAATATTAATTGTGAAAATCAACGACTAACATTTACCAACAAAGAAGATGGGATAGCAAAAACTCCAGGAAGGTCACCAAGCTTACCGGCACGTCTGAATGGTCACCACAGCTCATGCTCACCTGAACTGGAAAGGTGCACATATCCTTTATTCCCTGGAATAAAGCTTACACCGTTGAGTATTTATTCATTGAAGCCTAGTCATTTTCAGTCCTCAGTTACACACTTGGAATATTACTGCAACAAAAATAATTGGGCACCACCAGAGTACTACCTATACTCAACTACAAGTCAGGATGGGAAACAACTGCTTGTTTATAAAGTGGTTATTCCATCCCTTGCGAACAGTTCACAAGGTACACTGAGCCATTTCATGCCTGATAAGCTCTGCACAATGCTGGAAGATGCTAAGGAACTAGCTGCACAATATGCACTAACACATTTAGGTTAGTATTTCTGGCTTTCTTTCTTATTTTAAATTTAAGTGCAAAGAATAGATGAAGTCTGCACTACGTTGCAACAATGTATATATTTTTAAATTAAATCACAGTTTCAGCTGCAGTTTTGAAGTAAGGGAAATGCTACCCCTTGCCTTTTACATTTCGTTCATTTAAAATAAATTTTAACTTCACTCTATTTGAGCAGCTGAAATAGTTTGTAGGCATTGCACCACATTCTGAATAAGAATAAAAGTCCCAAAAACATTTCATTTTGTAATGATAGCAGAAGCTTCTCTAATGTGCACAACTCTAGCCTTTCTGCTTTGAAACATATTTGTAAACTGTAAAATGTTCACACACACAGGGACATTCCAGAGATCTCTGCCTAAACTGTTAAGCCAATATATGTCACAAGAAACACCCTATTCTGATTTGGTGAGTACGTCAACAGGGCACTTTGGTAAGTTTTGTCCACCAAAGAGTCACAAAGCTCTGGATAGTTGGGAAACTAACACTCCTGATATATGACCAAATAAAGTAGAGCAATATGTTAGGGAGCGGCAAGAATTCCTTACGGAGACATCTGACTTTTGGGTGGACAATGAATCGAATTGCTAATATATTTTCAGGAAATTCATCAAATGTACTGTGATAAGGATAATTGTGGGAAAATATAATCTTTTGTTAAAAATACATCATTTCACAAACTGAGGCTTACAGTTTTTCTAATATGAGAATGGTGAGCATTCAGGATGTTTCGCTGTGCACAACCTATGTTTCTTATTTGAATATGCAAGGATATAGACCAAAGGAAGTCAGAAGGGATTAGTTTAATTTAGCGCTACATTCAGCGTAATATTGTGGGCCAAAGGACCCATTCCTGTGCTGTACAGTTCCATGTTCTATATGTTCTTTGATACATATATAGAAAAAATTGTTACAGAGCAGAAAACGCTATGAGGGATAAAAGCAAAGTTGAATTATGGAGTTGAATTTCAGTAGTAGTAACCCCAGTCATCTGCAGCTTGGCCCAGGATATGTGAAAAACTTAGAGAAACAACAAAAAATGTTGAGAGAAAACAGAGTTAATGTTTAGAATCCAGTGACCCTTCTTCAGAAACATTAACTCTGGTTTCTTTCCATAGATGCTGCTGGACCTACTGAGTTTCTCCAGCAATTTCAGTTTTTGTTTCAGATCTCCAACATTTGCAATTCTTTGTTTTATAAATGCTGTTGACACTGACACCATTTCTCTGAGGGTTCTGTGAAGTTCTACAGAAGTTACTACAGATAAATGGGGGAAAAAGAACCCATGAAAGTTCAAGAGATAGTAGGAACTGCAGATGCTGGAGAATCTGAGATAACAAGGTGTAGAGCTGGAGAAGGGTCTAGGCCCGAAACATCAGCCTTCCTGCTCCTCTGCTGCTGCTTGGCCTGCTGTGGTCATCCAGCTGTACACCTTGTTATCCATGAAAGTTCAATCCTGATTTTCTGATCGGGAAGGTCAGAGGGCAAGGCAAGGGATTTACAAAGTGTGAAAGAGCGGTGGGTTTGGAGAGTAGGCCAGTGTTAGAGAAATTGAGGATAACTGCAAGAACATATGCCTTAAACTGACTGCTAAATTGACTGAGGTCATGGAGGTTATTGATAATGATGAAGAGGATGCCAGTATTAATTTACATGAGGCCAGGGCCTATCTAGCTTGAGCAATGATGGGGCTAGGTTTTGAACTGATATCCTGAATAAGTTGTAATTATTAGTGAGGAGCACAATTTAAAAATGAAGTTTCTAACTAATAAAAGGGATGAGAATGGTGGGGTGCTGTATGGCATTTCTGTGATGAAGAACAGGTCTTCTGATGGAATCATGAGGTGATCCTGCAAGCAATGAAGGAAAAAACATGAGTGCCAAAGAATTTGCTATTGTTTATATAAACGGAACCATTGATTGAGGTAAAGTACCCTTTGGGTAATGTCAGATGACCTTGGGATTAATAAAAAAATGTATAAATGAGTATAAAACATATAAATGGCAATTTCATCAGGAGCATCAAAAGATTTGTCAAACTCAGCTGGCAGAGGGACCTGTCAAAGGGAGCTATCAAAAGTGTCAAGATATATAAAAGTGGTGCCTTTAAATATTTGAGAAAAAAATGGCCAGTGTCAGTGGTGAGTCAGAGTTTCAGTTTAGGGTGATTTCCCATCTGAATTTTCAGCTTCCCATGCAGTTCCCTCAGTTTGCATGTGGTCCTGACATGCACCTTGTGTCCACACTTCAGAAACAACCATCCAGGCCTTTGGAGTATCTGAGTCACTTAAAAAAAATTACTTGCTATTTTGGTTTGTTGGCATAAGGATTTCTATTTCTGGATTAATGCAGGATTGATTTCATAACCATCCATTACCACAATGTATTTCTTAATGTTTCAGACTCTTTGATATAGAGCTATAAATCACAACTTTAACGAAATGTTTGTGGTTAAAGGTTTAATCTTGTTGAAAGAATGTAAGTGTGGGAAATAATTTTTTTATGAATGACTGACTTTTTCTCAACATAGTCTGCAGCATGCATTTAGAGTTGTACCTTGATTTCATTTCTGCGTGGATCCTGAGGTGCTGAATACTAGGTGAGTTGGCATCATGGGTAAAGGACAAAGGGTGGTGTTTGGGAGCATTGATGCTAATTACGCATGGGGCTTCAGAGAGCCATGGGGGAGTAAGCAGAGAGGCATTGATTGATGTCAAGGATATATTTGCTCATTGATACTTACTTTGAATTCTGCCTGTTACACTCAGCCTCTGACCTCATTGTGATACAAAAGAGCTAAACTGAAGATGTGAGGTGAGAGTGACTGACATTAACATCAAGACAACATTTGACTGAGTATGGTATCATCGTGCCTTAACAAAATGGAATCAATAGGAATTAGGAGTAAATTCTTTTCTGGTTGAAGTCATACCTAGCTCAAAGGAAGATGGTTGTGGTTGTTGCAGGATCAATCTTCTCAGTCTCAGAACATCACTGCAGAAGTTTCATTAATAAATGAAATTTGTTCCATCACAGGGTCAGAGTGGGGATATTTGCCAATTATCGCATAATTCACCATCTGTGTCTCATCTGCAAGACACAGATGCGTGATGGAATACCCCCCACTTACCTAGATGGGAGCAGCTCCAACAGGAAGCTCAACACTATCCAGGATAAAATTCCTCTTGACTGGCACCCTATTCACCACCTCCAATGCTCATTCTTTCATTATTGATACACAGTGGCAGCAGTGTATACTATCTGTGAGATGCTCTGCAGCATCTCGCCCAGGCTCCTTTAACAGCACCTTCCAAACGAAAGACCTCTACCACTTGGGACATTAGCAGCAGATGCATGGGAACATGACCACATGCATGTTCTCCTTCAACTCACATTCCATCCTGACTTGGTTCTATATCATCCAGAATCCTGAATCTCACTTCCTAAAAGTACTGTAGGTGTATACACATCCCAAGGACTCCTGTGGTACCAGAAAGCAACTCACCATCATCTTCTCAAGGCCAGTTGTAGATAAGTGACAAATACAGACATAGTGATACCACAACCAATGGATAGATAAAAAAGAAGTGGCCCAGGGAACTTGGTAGAGACTACAAAAGGTGATTGAAGGCTTCTAAAGTGTGGCATGAGTGCTACAAATGGTCATTGGCCTAGTTAAAGGGACATAGCCTGGCCTAGGGTATTAATGGCAAAGTTTGGCAGAGAGCATGAGACATTTTAGGTGATAATGATGGGGCCCTTCTCTCTCTTTTGCTCTCTCCACTAGAAAGTTTGATTAGAAAAAGTTTTCAGCAATATCTGCAAGACTATTGAAGGAGGATTTTTCCTGTCGTGTTGCGAGCCTGACATTAGTATCAAATGAAGGCTGCACGTAGTAAGTTGGCAGTGATTTTTCCCAAATTAGCCAAGTGCAGACTGAGGGTGGGATCAACGTCCAACTAAGGATGACTCAAAACTGGAGAGACATTCAGTGTCTCTAGCTCAGAAGGGGATAAAACCTGCACTTTGGCATTTGAGGTACCTTTTTCTCAACTGTTTAAACTCTCAAAGCCAAAGAAAATGGCCTCAGTAGCCAGCTATCATAGATGCTTGGGCAACTGCAGCTACTGCTAAAGCCAGAAAACAAGGAACAAGCTGCATGGCAACCATGCTATGCAATGTTGGAACGTGGGACTAATATAGATTTAGAGTAGTTTTTGTTGGTGCAGCAGATTCAATAGGCTGCAAGGCCTCTTGTGTATTGTACAATTCCAAGTTGCCAGCACTACCACTCCCAGGCTGTCTCCAGGTTAGTTTGTGATACCTCGGAGTGTCCTGCATGCCCACAGGAACATTAGCCTTAATAGGCCATTAAGTATCATCAATTGGCTGCCCACCACTTGAAGGCAGATAACTCTGACAGCAAGACCCATCTAATGGAAAATATCCCAGTAAGAGGATGGTTCTCACACACTACCCAACAGTGCTAGTTTTTGTGCCTATCTGCCTCTATACTGACCCTCATCAAGCGCTAAAAATCCCAGCCATAGTTTCTATGAAGATATTGTGCTGTATCTAATCCGCTATTTTCAAACCCTGATTGTCTTATATTGTGCCTGTGAATTTAAGTCAGATGCTGATTTGTGAATAATTTTAAACTTTGGTCTGATTTTTTTTGTGACTGAAAAGATATCTAGCTTTCTACCTCCAGGCTATCAATGTAGCATTAAAATGCAGAAAGCAATTTAAAATATTTTAAACATACCTTTGGACAATTCATCGCGAAGGTTTTTGAAGCAATAATTAAGATCTTGTGACACAGAGTGGTGGCTGTCTTGATGTGGTATTTCTAGCCATGACCTTTGACTGTTGATTTATATTTTAAATTTTTATAACTGCACAATTTAATAATATATTTTTGTGATGTAATATGCGCATTTATGTATTTACAGACTACAGTTTGCGTCGGACCAACTCCGTTAATAGTCTCTCTCAAGTTGGTGCACCTCTTCCAACTTCTGCTTCCAGTTTGCTACAATACACATCTAGACCTTACTCCTATCCTAGCTACCCATTGTCAACAACGCTATCTCTCGGTAACAACAGTCATATTGGACAACGATTATATGTTTCTAGTCATGGGTCTTTCTTCTAAAAAAAAAGTACTGTGAGTGGAATACACAAATATTGTAAGGGTTCTTGGAATGCAAGTTAGCCTTCTAAAAATATTTTTCGTTCTGTGTTATGTTATGCAATTTATTGAGGCACAATTGTACAGTTCTTTTCCATGTATAAAAGCTTAATCAGATTGTTTTATGTTCTTGTTAAAGATTTCAGAATACTGTTAATGAATTTTACAAGTTTTTCATCACCTTGATGGTCTATTCGTCTGTTGGCCTTCAGTTATTTTGCTCTTTAATACATACAGCATTATTATTACATTAAATTAAGACCTCTTAATAGGATTGCGGCTGCACTAATGTACAGGAACAATGCTGTATTTTCTTGTTGCAGTGTTCACTGTCACACTGGGGTCAATTTTTACATACCCCATCCATCTCAGGAAATTGATAAGATTTGAATGCAACATTACTTTCACACACCGAACAATTTGTAGTCAATGGAGAGTAGTGTTAGTTGGATATAAAGCTGGTGTTAAGCCCAATACCATGGTTTCACTGAGTGAGTTAAGGTAAAATTACTCCCACTGTTTCAAATTGTTAAGATTGACATTTTTCTTGTTTTTGCTATATCTGCTTGTTCTCGTTGTTGTGAGAAAATTATTTATATTGTATTGGTTGAATCGTTGCAATCATGTGTTCAATTAAATATCACTAAAATTTTTTTCTTGTATTGTTTATTTTTAATGGAAAGCACATTTTAAGTGAGTCTTAACTGAATGCAAAACTGAGTAACAAATGGTAGGGCCATGAAATTCACATACTCAAACTAGATTATTGCTGTAAAGGAACACATTTCATTGAAGCTTTTCATCTTGCATTCATCCAAACAATCCACAAGAAACAACAATGTAAAGAAAAAGCATTTTATCTTGTCTGTGAAGAAGTATTGCTGTTGGAATGCACTGCCTTCTTATTCACTGTAAAATGCAATTTTTTTTCTCTTTACATTAGTATTTCTTACGAATTGCCCTGATGAATGAAAGGTGAGAAAGTTTTGTAAAATGTGACATTTTACAGCAGTTCTGTATTACCAAACAAGAAATCATTTTCAAAAGGTTGGATTCTTTTGTAATTTTCACATTTTCTATTTAATGTAAATACCAGCCAAAGAAGAAAATTAGTCTTTAAAAATACTGTTTTTTAAATATCTTTGAATAAACAACGAAATTTAATAATCATGCATTTGCATACTGTGCTGTGACTAAAAAGCAAGCACAACTGTAAATTCCCACATTATTTCAATGTGGAATGGAAATATGGGAAAAGTAAAATGAAATAGCATAAGTCATTTGCATCCATTTGAAAAAATTGTTTCATGGTATGTTGGACTTGCCAGCAAGGCCAGTGTTTATTCTTTGTCATCACTTCTGCTTGAGAAGGTAATAGCCTGTTTTATGAACTACTTTAGTCCATGTGGTGCAGTGATACTCAGAGTGCCGTAGAGGATGGGATTCTGGGATTTTGACTCAGTGACAGTAAAGCAAGGCAACACATTTCTAAGTCAGAGATAGCAAGAAATGCAGATGCTGGAGTCAGAGACAGCACAGTGTGGAGCTGGAGGAACACAGCAGGCCAGGCAGCATCAGAGGAGCAGGAAAGTTGACATTTCGGGTTGGGACCCTTCTTCAGAAATGGGGAGGGAGAAGGGCGCTGGGAAATAAACAGAGGGAGGAGAGGTGGGGCTGGAGAAGGTAGGTGGGATGATGACAGGTAAGTGCAGGTAGGGAGTGGTGGAGATGGGTGGGGCGGATAGGTGGAAGAGAAGATGGACAAGTTGTGTCAGGTCAAGGAGGCAGGGATGAGAGGGAGGGTTGGACATGGGATGAGGTCAAGGGTGGGGAGATTTTAAAACTGGTGAATTCCATGTTTAGACCATCGGACTGTAGGCTCCCGAGGCAGAATGTGAGGTGTTGCTCCTCCAGTTTGCGGGTGGTGTCATTATGATACTGGAGGAGGCCTAGGATGGACATGTCACCCAGGCAGTGGGAGGGGGGAGTTAAAATGGTTGGCAACCGGAAGGTGTTGTCGTTTGTTGCGTACAGAGCACAGATGCTTTACAAACCAATCTCCAAGTCTGTGCTTGGTCTCACCGATGTACAGGAGGCCACATCAGGAGCAGCGGATACAGTAGACCAAGTTGACACAAATGTGCAGGTGAACCCCTGTTTGATATGAAAGGTTTGTTTTGGGCCTTGAATGGAGGTGAGGGGGGAGGTGTAGGGGCAGGTGCAACACTTCCTGCAGTTGCAGGGAAAGGTGCCGGGTGTGGTGGGGTGTGTGGAGCAGTTGAGAGAGTTGCGGAGAGAGGAGTCCCTACAAAAGGCAGATAGGGGTGGGGAGGGAAATATCTCTGGTTGTGAGGTCGGATTGTATGTGGCAGAAGTGGCGGTGAATGATACACTGGATGCGGAGGTTGGTGGGGTGATATGTAAGGACAAGGGGGATTCTGTCCTCATTTTTGTGGAGGGGTAGGGGTGTGAGGGCAAAAGTGTGGGAAATGCAAACGATGCAGTTGAGGGCATTTTACCATCCCACTAACTTTACCCAGTCCCACCCTCCTCTATTTATTTCCCAGCTCCCTTCCCCCTCCCCCCTCCCCATTTCTGAAGAAGGGTCCCAACCCAAAAAGGCAACTTTCCTGCTCATCTGATGCTGTCTGGCCTGCTGTGTTCCTCCAGCTCCACCACTGTGTTGCCACATTTCTAAGTCAGGATGGTATAGGGAACTTGCATGGACTTTTTAAATCTAAATTGTAAAGCTTATAGGGTTTGAAGACACTTGTCAAAAGAGCCGTGGCGAGTCACTGCCAATATTAAATCGTTCAATGGTAGTGGAGGAAGTCCGTGAGATGGTGAGTGAGATTTCTCAAGTGTTATTGCAGCCACACTTATTGTATAAGTGTGAAAGAAAGCTGGCTGGAAATATAAAAGCAGATACTAAGAATTTTGACAAGTATTTACAAAGACAAAGTTACCAAGATAAGTATTGGTCTTAGGATGTGAGCTTGCAAAGGTAATAATGGGGGAAAAAGAAAATGCTAAAAGCGTCTGTAAAAAATACAAAACATCCCAAGAATACTGGAAAATCAAGAGGGAAAATGATGGCCTGTTGTTTGTTGATGGGAAGAGTTCTAGTTCTGAGTTAATGAGCTGGAGTCTGAGCTTTGAACACCACAACGCATCAGGGAGAGGGAGAGTTATCTGGATGCTGTGTTTCAGGAGACAGTCACACACGTAAGTACTTCAAATTTGGCCATTGGTCAGGAACAGGAGGGTGTCACTACAAGTGAGGCAGATAGGGGGATCCTGAATTTAGTATTGGAGAAACCTCAACTCTTGACCTTGTCTAACAAGTGTGAGGTACTTCTAATGTGAATGAGAAAAGGGACTATGGGGAGGATGGGCAAACTGATCACTGCACCACCGTAGAGGCAGAGCAGCAAGAAGAAAGGTGATAATCAGAGGAGATTTTAGTTGGAGGTTTTGAGATAGTAGCCATGATTGAAACATGGCTGCAGGATGATTAGAACTGGAAACAATCAGGTTACAGGACAGATAGGGAAAATGGCAAAGGAGATACAGTAGCCTGACTGATTAGAAACAAAATTACTTCAATGGTGAGGGAGGATAGGAGGGGAAGCCATTGAGTGAAGACCATACAGGTGGAACTGTGGAACAGAAAAGGATCTAAACAGTGTCATAATCCTTGTTGTGCACTTTATTGACATGATTCTGACTGATTGTTGCAATGTTGCCAGCAGTTTGAAGAGGATTGATGGATGTTTGATTTTAGCTGCAACGTTGTTTCTCTCAGCAAGTAATGTACTTTACTGACACATACTACTGATTCTAACATTACAGCAGAATTTTGAAGAAGATTCCTGGAACTTTTGATTTTTTACTGCAAAGTTACTTATCCCAACAAGTTATGCACTTTTCAGATATGTACTACTGATTGTAACAATATGTTAGTATTTCACAGAGGATTGCTAAAATATTATGCTGCAAAGTTGCTTCTCTCATTGTGTTATGCCCTTGACAGACATGTTATACTGGACTAACATAATGACATCACGTTTTAGGTTTGTTAGAAGTTTTGATTTTCTGTTAAGAAGTTGCACATAACTCTTACAGTTAAGCATTTTGCAGACATATACTACTGGTTCTAACAATGTGCCAGCACATAGCACTGCATCTTACAGCACATTATGTGCAGATCCAGGTACTTTTTGAAATAATTTGTTTGAACTTTTGATTTTCTGGTGCAAAGGTGCTTAGTTCACTATGTTGTGTATTTTCCTGTCATGTACTACTGATTATAACAATGTGACAGCAATATGGAGGGATAGAACATAGAACATTACAGCGCAGTACAGGCCCTTCGGCCCTCAATGTTGCGCCGACCTGTGAAACCAATCTGAAGCCCACCTAACCTACACTATTCCATTATCATCCATATGTTTATCCAATGACCATTTAAATGCCCTTAAAGTTGGCGAGTCTACCACTGTTGGAGGCAGGACATTCCACGCCCTTACTACTCTCTGAGTAAAGAACCTACCTCTGACATCTGTCTATATCTATCACCCCTCAATTTAAAGCTATGTCCCCTCGTGCTAGCCATCACCATCCAAGGAAAAAGGCTCTCACTGTCCACCCTATCTAATCCTCTGATCATCTTGTATGTCTCTATTAAGTCACCTCTTAACCTTCTTCTCTCTAACGAAAACAGCCTCAAGTCCCTCAGCCTTTCCTCATAAGACCTTCCCTCCATACCAGGCACCATCCTGGTAAATCTCCTCTGCACCCTTTCCAATGCTTCCACATCCTTCCTATAATGCGGTGACCAGAACTGTACGCAATACTCCAAGTGCGGCTGCACCAGAGTTTTGTACAGTTGCAACATGACCTCATGGCTCCGAAACTCAATCCCTCTACCAATAAAACCTAACACACCGTACGCCTTCTTAACAACCTTATCAACCTGGGTGGCAACTTTCAGGGATCTATGCACATGGACACCGAGATCTCTCTGCTCATCCACACTACCAAGAATCTTACCATTAGCCCAGTACTCTGTATTCCTGTTACTCCTTCCAAAGTGAATCACCTCACACTTTTCCGCATTAAACTCCATTTGCCACCTCTCAGCCCAGCTCTGTAGCTTATCTATGTCCCTCTGTAACCTGCAACATCCTTCCACACTATCCATAACTCCACCGACTTTAGTGTCATCTCCAAATTTACTAACCCATCCTTCTACGCCCTCATCCAGGTCATTTATAAAAATGACAAACAGCAGTGGCCCCAAAACAGATCCTTGTGGTACACCACTAGTAACTGAACTCCAGGATGAACATTTCCCATCAACCACCACCCTCTGTCTTCTTACAGCTAGCCAATTTCTGATCCAGACCGCTAAATCACCCTCAATCCCATGCCTCCGTATTTTCTGCAATAGCCTACCATGGGGAACCTTATCAAATGCTTTACTGAAATCCATATACACCACATCAACCA